TTCAAGGACTAATTTTGAAAATTTTGATCAGAATTTGTTATCAAAGATGAAATATTAGAGGGGCATTAAGGTCTTTTTGAAGAATATAAATTTTAATTCCCTTTTAAGAGTTATAAAAACGTGGAGTTTGAAAGATGAAAGGAAAATTCTGGAACTTCTTCTTCTTTCTCTTCCCGCCATTTCAAGGTGAGTTGATTTCAAATTGTTTGTTCTTTGAATTCTTAAGTTGGTTCTTGTTCTTTGGGTGATTTATAAGCTTAAGGGAGGTATTGGGGAGATTAAAACTAAAAGATGATTGAGTTAGTGATGATTTTGTAAAGTGGGATTTTAAAGGAATTGTTGATATGGTTTAGTTTTTGGATTTCTATTGGTAAATTTGACTTGTCAAGGGTCTAACTAAGGAGTTAGGAGTATTAGGAATGTTTAAGAACATATTTGAAAATATGGTATGATTTTTAAATTCAAGAGTACTAGTGAGATTTTTGAATTTTGAGGAGTTTTAAAGTGAGATAAGTTGGTTTGGATAAGTGAAGTTAAGTTTAAAGGCATAAAAGGAGATAAAAGTAGGAAATTTGGGTGAGTTTAGGTTATATTTCGAATGGAAATGGTAATTTCTGATCAAGGGTATCGGTACTGGAATAACAATATCAATACTTCAAGGTAAAACTAGTTTGAGTTCGAGGATCAGTATCGGTATTGATTAGATGAGGTATCGATACTGAAATAGGGGTATCGATACCAAGAGTAAGGTATCGATACCATTATCAAGTTTGAAATTCCAGAATTCCAAAATGGTATCAGTACCGAAGTGGGTATCGATACCATAAAAGGGAAGTATCGGTACTATAGGAGGAGTATCGATACTAGTGCGTCTGAAATGATAAATTAGGTGTTTATTTCATCTTAAGTTATTATGATTGGTTAATAATTAATATGAATTTCAATATTCATTTCGATTGTATTATTGTGTAGACATTGTGATATGATCTCGATTATATGTTTCGAGTCATATATGAGAATGCCAGATCGTGATTCCTTAGCCCTTGCTCGTGTGATGGGGCCACTTGGGTACTTCTCCGGGTCTTTGCTATTGGCGATTGTATCACATTGAAAGACGACAAATTTTGGACGATTCAATGTTATAAGTTATCGATCAAAAGTGATAAGGATTCGTTTAGGACTTCAGTGAGGCAAAGGTGAGTGCAACTCATTTATTTTATATTAGATTCAAGGGCGGCTTGCGATAAGCCAACCTCAGAGTTTTCGATCGAAAACCTTTCAATTTATTTATTGCTATAATTTTTCAATGTTTTATTCAAGTTATATTACTTAAGCTAGGTTATGATGGTTATGTGGATATGATTATTCAAATGTGATATTTGAATATGTGCATACAAAAATCTTGATGGGAAAGTGCCTATGTGAACATGACACACTATGAATAACAAAATGAAAAATAATTATGTGATTAAAAGCCCAAGGTATATATATGAGGATTAGAGGTATAGTTGGCATGCCAAGAGTTGAGGGTTCTATGTGGTCCTTCAGGACAAACCTATGTGGTCATTCGAAACAAAACTATGTGGTCTTTTAGGACAAATATGTGGCACTTCGGTGCAATGATGTGAGTTGTGGTGACAGCATTAGTGCACAACCTCAATGTACTCAAATACCTAGAGTTCTCAGTAATATACATTGGGCCTTTGAAATTAAGGTTATATAATCCAAACAAGGTATAAAAGTATATAATCTTGTTATGAAAAGTTATTTAAATCCCTTATGAATCGTGTTTCTATTAAATGAATAAGAACTATTATATAATGTTCTATTTGACTCGTACTTGCCTCACTAAGTCAACGACTTAGCGTGTGATTGTTTCACACGTAGGTTTGAAGAAAACAAAAGATCGAGGATAGGCGAGGACAACATACTCCCGCAAAGATCATATCATAACAATTTAAATGTAGGTTTCATGTAAATTTGTAAACTGTTGGTATGTACTACAAGTTTAAATTGAAATGCTCTGATATATTTTGTAAACTTATACTTTTGTATTTATGTAAATTATTAATGGTTTATTTAAGAATGACTGTAAGTTTTTATTATTTACTTTAATTCAAGGGTTCCACCTTCATAATACGAATGAAAGTTTAAATTTTCCTTACTTATTAATAATCAATGATTTGAAAAGTCAACATGACACCTCAGACTCGTATACGGGTCGGGTACGGGTTAGGGGTGTTACAAGACCATTTGTGTACTTTACCCTAATTTTTTATTAAAAATAACAAAATGGCATAGATGTAATTTTAGATAAAAAGGAGTATGTTAGTTAGTCACCAGTTCCAACGTGGATAAAATGAAGGAGACAATAAAGCCCTACCAAACTAGAAATGCTCACGTACGACAGTTTTAATATACGACTAAAAAAAGGCGCTACCAATTTTGTTATTATTTAAATAACAAAACCAGTAACAAATTACCAGAAACATTATTATTTCTATAAGTTTTGTTATTATTGGGCATTTTACTGGATTTGGTAAAGCGCTACCAATTTTGTTATTTTTTTAGTGGTTTTGTTATTGTTTGACACTTTTACCGGTAATGTTAAAAAATTGATGTTTTAGGTAATTTTTACCGGTTTTGTTATTTAAATAATAACAAAATAACACCTTATTTTAGCCTTATATTAATGTGTCGCACTGTAGAACTTCCCACATCAAATGCCATCCATTTTCACACAGTGTTTATATATACGTCCAAATCGAGTCAGTTGTAAATAAATTGTTATTGTTCTTTGAAGTCTTAGGTTCAAATATTATGAATGTCAGGGTATAAGCGTTTACTATTAAATGGTTGATAATTGTTTTTAACATATACGACCTTTTACTTACCTCAGATTAATAAAAAAATTATTTATAGAGTTATTGATATGATTTTTATTTAAAATGTGTTTTTAATAATGTGAATATTTTATGACGATATATTAATATTATCATTAAATTTTTAACAATAGATATCATAATGAAACGTAAACTAAAAGTCATATATGATTTAAAAAATAAAATCCGATTATCAAAACTTAAGAATAACAATTTAGATATTAAACATGTAATTTACACTTAATTATAATAATATTTTTGTCTAAATATATTTATCGATCAAAATATCAAGAGTGTGAATTGTTTCAATGGTTAGGTGTTAAGCCATCATTCTATCAAACTTGGGATTGATTTTCACTAGTCATTTTATGATTTATTCTTAATATATTCATTTTAAACTAAGATGATCTGATTACTTGCTATTTATTAATTTTAAAAATATTTTTTATATGACATCACATGTAAACATGTCATGCAAGTATTTTAATCCACATAAATATGTTTAGTCAATAGTAAACATCCACAATTAGTAAATTAATAGTTTTCATCCAATCATAAATTTTTTTACCCTAAAATAAAATATTAAGAGTAAAATCACTACTTCATCAAATGTTGGAGGCTATTTTTATCATTATGCCTACCTGGATAAAAAACTTTAGGACCTAAAATGAATAAGGTACAATTTAAGTACTTATCTTTGAATTAAACCTATTTTAAATAATTAAAATAATGGCAAAGTACACAAACGGTCTTCCGATTATAAGGTATTACTTTATTAAGTTTATCGATTATTAAAAATTAGGGTTAACTACACAAATGATCACTTATGTTTGTGTTTTGTCCACTTTTGGTCACTGATTTTAAAATACATAAAATATGGTCACCTTCGTTTTTATTTAAATAAGATATGGTCACTTTCATTTTTATTTAATTAAGATGTGGTCACATGCCGTTAACAATTAACAGATTAGGTGATGTGACAGTTAAATATTTTAGTATAATCACACATTTGTTCCCTATTATTTACATATTCTCTCAATTTAATCTTTTTAATAAATGAAAATAAATTATATATATATATATTTAAAAATTTTGATAAGAATAAAACATATATATTTAAATTAAAATTAAAATAAAATATTTTTAAATTAAGTGAATAATAAAATATATTTAATAAGTTAATATAAAAATATTTTTTAAAGTTAATATATATAAAATATTATGAATTTAAGTATTTATACACTAAGATACAAAATATATATACATTATGTTATCTATTTTAAACCAAGCATTGGTCGTGGCATCAATATCACGTGACAACATTCGATTGGAGGATTAAATTTATTTTAATTTATTAAAAGGATTAAATTGAGAGAATATGTAAATAACATGGACCAAATGTGTGATTATACCAAAATATTTAACTACCACATCACTTAATTTGTTAACTGTAAACGAAAGGTGACCACATCTTAATTAAATAAAAATGAAAGTGACCATATCTTATTTAAATAAAGAACGAAGGTGACCATATCTTATTTATTTTGAAATCAGTGATTAAAAGTAGACAAAACACAAACATAAGTGATCATCTGTGTAATTAACCCTAAAAATTATAAAATGATCAGTCGACTATAGAGTATTATTTTGTTGAATCCCTCAACTATTAAAAGTTATAAGATGACCACCTGACTATTCATTATGTTCTAAACTAGTCATTTTTCATTAAAAAAATTGACAGCATTTTGAGTTGAACGTTAACATGTTGTTTGTAATATCATAAAATATAATCATAAAATCTCAAACAACTATCATATTTAAGTCATCATATTAACGTTCAGCTTAGATAACCATCGATTTTTTAATGGAAAATGACAAGTTTGGTACATAATGAATAGTCGAGTGACCATTTTGTAACTTTTAATAATTAAGGGACTCAACAAAACAACATTATATAATATGAGGATTATTTTATAACTTTTAATAGTCGATTGACTTAATAAAGTAATATGCTATTGTCGGGGACCCATTTGTATACTTTACCCTTAAAATAAAATTTATATTATAATTACCAGAGTACCCTCTAATCTTTTAGCCTGGTTTCAGAAGACGGTGGCTTCTCCGCCTCTCCTGCGTCATCTCATCTCTGTATACTTTTCTCCGGGAACCAAAACCGAATTTCCCGGCGGAATATAAAAATAAGGGGAAAAAAGGGGATAAAGAGTGAAAGAGAAGGTCGAAAGTAGGAAGATGGGAGGATGGAGTGCGCATTGTTTGTCGATTCCACACAGTTTGATTTTGGGCCATTACTCCAAGTCATTGTCCAAAGCAGCAGCGCATCCTCATTACTTTTGTTTCCATTACTGTCTCCCAATCAAATCTAGAAAAGATCCGTGTGCTATTTCCATCCGTTTCTGTGCTTCTACATCCGAATCCCATAACGTCGATGAAATCCGGCAGGCCGAGCCCGAGACTGACGATTTCGTGGTGGTCAATTTTTATCGCTTTGTCTTTATCAAAGAACCTCAACACGAAGTTTCTAAGCATCTTACCTTCTTAAAGGTTTCGCTCTATCTTCTGCTTTATCAAGCATTTTGTATTTCCTTTTTAATTTTAATTTTTTTATTTATAATAGAATGATGATTACAAGGTAATATTTATTCAAAATCTTTCTTAGCAATTACAAAGAACATACAACACTCCTTCAACAACTGATGTCGCTTAATGTTTTTTTTCCAGGGTTTGGACATACATGGGCGAATCTATATAAATGAACAAGGGATTAATGCACAGGTATTCTTCAGCTGCCTCATTGCGTTTTTATTAGTTAGCAATTGAATAAATTGTTATATGCTACCACTCCATGATTAGGTGATGAATAGACATTTTTTTCTTTGCGTATGTGATTTTTCATGGCCAACTAAACAAAGCTTTTTTTTCCTTTTCTTTTTTGCTAAAGAAAATGAAAGATTCGGTTGCAAATGCTGGTGGTTGCTTCATTTTTTTTATTTTGTACAGTTATTTTCAAATATTGACTACAGAAATTTAGTAATGTAAAATGCATAGTCCTTCTCATATGATTTTCAATATATTTACTGGCATATTTTTTTCCCAATCTCATTAAATCTCTCTTTGTGCTTAGTTCTTACAGCATACTGGTTGATTGTAGAAGATAGATAGGTCTTTTTCCTTCTCTTTTGTTTTTTCCTCTCATTCCTCCTTTTCTTTTAAAATACTTGAGTTCATTAGTGGTATGTTGTTTTGGAAAAACGAGGCAGACTATTTCTTGAAATCAAGTAAATAATTGATATTGATGTCAGTGCTTGAAAGTTGCATGACTTGGTTTGCAGTGTATTCCATGGAGTGGTTTTTCCTGTTTTGCCCTTATACTAATAATTCCTTCTGTGTTCCCCTTCTTTGCAGTATAGTGGGCCCTCAAAACATGCTTTTGCATATGTTGAATGGTTAAAAGAAGATCAAAAGTTTTCTGATATACTGGTTCAGACATCTCCAAGCGACGGGCATGCCTTTCCCAAGTTGAAGCTGCGATATAAGCCTTCACTTGTACAAGTAAGCGATATGTTTGTCTCTGTTTGTCTTTGCGTATTCGTTTTATCATATCCAAATTTGATTCATTCCTTATATTTGTGTTCTTTGGTCTTCTTTATGATTGTATTGTATTATTTTTTCTCTAATGAAGTTCACACATTTGCCTTTAGTTAATTATCCTTGTACTACGCTTACATTTTAGGGGAGGACAACACTCCATACACCAAAAATATGATAAAGGAGGTTTAGAAGAGATACCAACTTTGCATCCAATTCAATAGTCAAAAGTAAACTATAATAATCTCTACATAAGTTCAATGGAAGCCATGATAAAGCCTTAGCTAAAAAAATGAGGAAAATGAAGTTTGATTTTCTGGACTTGTGATGAAATCAGGCATGCTAAAAATTCTTGATTGGTGCCCTCTATTGTGTAATTATCCTTTGGTTGAAAAGAACCCTATTCCTCTTAGACACTGATCCATAATATTTTTATCCCCATTGAATTTTCTTTTATTTTCTTTAAATGTCACATCAATGATGGACCATCCTAACTAAAGTTCCGTTTGTTCAGTTGGAGGGAGGAATTTCTCACCTCCCTTTGCTTGACCCATCAATGCGAGCTACAGCTATAGCACCATCAGAATGGAGAAAAAGACTGGAAGCAGCGAATAACAATGACACAACATCAAATACGAATTCTAGTTCAAACTATATTTTGCTGGACGTGAGAAACGGTAGTTGGTTAACATTTGATCTGGACTCTCTTAGTTGGAATTTAGATTTCTTTTCCATATATTATGTACTTTGACTTTAGTAACTGGAGGAGCAATAATATACTATGATAACACTAAATACAAATATAGCCCTATTTCTGGGAGCATCTAACTGACCATTGAAATCCCAATTCTTGAAGATGAATATGGGCCTTATTTGATTGATCAGATGAGTTATAGATAGAATGACAATTAAAACTATCCACCATTTTGTCTTATTGTTTGTTAAATAGAAAATGAAGGAAGCTTGTCATTCATGTAATAACAGCAAAAAGTAATATGGAAAAAAAGAATTGGATTGAGTTGTTGGCAATATTCTGTTGTGCATTTGACTTTTCCATTTTTATTTGCTAGCTTTAAGTTGAGCTTTGTTTGAGATATGATGATCCAACTTCGTGCCTGATATAATGTGTATCCTTAACTCTTAGAAACATGATCATGTCTTAATATTGTAAGGATAGGTTTAAGAGTTTTTCTAAAATTACCATAATTTTATTGATGCACAAATGTATGGCATATTAAGTCCAAAATGAAGGCTTTACTAGAAAGAGTTTTTGACGAGGCAGGGGAGATTGGGTTTTGCAAAGAATAAAATGATGGTACATAAAAAACTTGATACATCATTCTAACATTTTCACTATAGTTTATAGTTGTGTTGAAATGGGGTGTTTGTCCAGTTCTTCAAGAGACAATTATTCCCACAGGGAAATGAAAATTTGATGCCATTGTTGTGATGTCCTAGAAAATTGGTTCCATTTCGAGGTGCTTCACCTGGAGAATGGAGTTAGATTAGAGATATACCAAAGGAAAACAAACAGACTTATGGTTGCTTGATGAGAGAATTTAAGGACACAGCAATAGAGATCAATCACAAAGTTGAAAGCTGGTATTTTGGTTTATAATACCAGGAAATAGAAAGAGCAGGTTCTATTTCTTGAAGGCTGAAAGAAAACTCAACTAGAGTTCGTAAAATATCTCAAACTTTAATAAATTGAGCTCCTAGACTTTTGTCTTATATATTCAAGTGATTTTTTTATGAAAATAAGAAACATTGAGTTTCTCTTTGAATTTCTGCACCTTTAAGTAGTTCTTGTTCATAGGCATTGTAAAATACCTTTGTTTGTTCTGAAAGAAGGAGGGTAGAAGATTGAATAGCTCATTCTGAATATTTGGCCTCTCCTCTGCTTTGTCCTGAAAAGTCAGGACAAGGTTTTCTCCTCACTGGAGCTCCTTGGTCTGCTTTTGTTGATAATTTGAGCAAGAGAGTCACCAGGAAAGCTTTGTAGGATCGTTTTAATCATCACGACAAGGTCATTAAGGTTTTCATTCCCATTGTCAACAAGAGAACGAATTACAAAGATTCAACTTTTGCTTTTGTTCACTTTGAGAACCAGGAGGATCTTTTGAAAGCTGTAGCAAAGGTTGATAATGCGGTGATTGATGGGAGAAGAGTTTCAGTCAGGGTGGCAAAGTATCAAAGGTCGGCGAGTAGGAAGAATCCGTCAGGATCAGAAGTTGAAGGGGCAAAGAAGCGGGTTGAGAATCAGACAAAGAGCCATGAAGATAGAAAGGTGATGTTTAATAAGGTTCATGACGAGAGCTCTTACCGTGATAAAGTGGTGGGTGCTCGTAATGGAGTGAAGAATGGTGGAGTGGCAATGAAGAATCCTTTGTATGTTTTCATCCCTGTGGAGGATAGGTGCTAGATTAAGAGGTCGTTGACTGGTATCCATAAGCAGTCGTACGAAGTGGAATTAGTTAGGAAGCTTTGAACAGTGAAGGTTTTAATGCAAAGGAGGTGGGGGGTATGCCAGGAATGCTTGTTTAGTCACTTTTTCGACAGAAGAGGAGAGAAGGACATCTCTGGAAGAGAAAGCTAGTGAGATTAATTTCTGGTTCGATTGACTTATGTCAGTTTCCATGTATGGAGGTGTCCCTTTAGCTTTCTGTGAGGTGCCTTTATTTGGTGTGCCCCTGAATTGTTGGAACGAAGTATTTTTCTCTAGTCTGGGTTCAAGGTGGGGGAGCTAGTGGAGATTAAGAAGGAAACAATGTTGAAGTTGGATTGCAAAGTTGCTAAGATGATTATAAAGGCGGCAAGTTCTTTTGATTTCCCCAATTCGATCTCAATCAACACAAATGGAAGGTTATATGAGATTAAGGTTAAAGTAGACTGACAGAGGATGGGCTTCCTAAGCTTTTGAGTGGTGAGAATGATGACGAGTCCTCGGATGCTTGAGAAGATGGTTCATCGGAGAACTAGTCTGATGATAGTGGGGCTTTGAGTGATCGAGAAGCCTAGGAGTTGGGATTGTTGCCTCAAGAAAAAGGGGATACATGGGTTCAAGAAGATGCCACAGGTGGTAAGGAAGTGTCAGTATCTGCAGTTAATGATGTTGTTGACATGAGGCTAATTAAATCTTCGGGAGAGATTAATGTGGGGCAAAATAACTGTGCAAAACTCACTAAGCAACAGGCTATGTTGGCAGAAAATAGAGTGGGTAATGGGTTTCGTGTGGATATTAATGGGTGTTCATCTGAGTCCATTGTCGATAGGGCAAATTTGGTTCTTTGTGGGCTGACCCAAGTGGCAGGAAAGGGGGTTCTTTTCAACTTGGAGTTTGTATGAGATCTAGCTCTTCGGGTTCTCCAATACTTAATGAAAGTGATAAGAGAGTGTCAGAGAGAAAGGGAGAGAGAGAGAGAGTGCCATAGGCGGCCAGTCCTCCGGTGAGGAATGGACGGCGTTTGTCAACTTTTTGAGTAAGAGGGTAACTTGGCGAACACTAAAGGAAATCTTTCAACAACATGGTAGCATTATTAGGGTCTACATTCCGAGTAGCTCCACCAAGCAGAACTATAGAAACTACACGTTCGCTTTCGTTCAGTTTGAGAAGGAAGATGGGTTGATGAAAGCGATAGCAAATGTGAATGGTATTTGGATAGATGGTAAGAAAGTCTCAGTTGGTGTAGCTAAGTACCAGAAGCAGAGGTCCAGGCAAGAGGATAATAGAGATGTCAGAAGAGTAGAAGGTAAATTGAAAATAGGAACGACTTCGAGAAGAAGACCAAGGTCAGTGTCGATCAGTAAATTGAGGGATGAGAGAACATATAAGGATGCGCTGGTCTCTTATGATGAGCAAAGGGAAGTTCAGGGGAACAAAGAGTTTAAGGAGGGTCGTCCAGGAGAGAAAGAAGGACTGAGGAATGTATGGGAGATGCATATCCCATTAGATGAGTATGATTGGGTTAAAAGATCATTGACTGGAATTATTAAATCCCAGTTTGATTTGGAATTAGTGGAGAAAGGGCTGGCTAGCGATGGAATCATAGTCAGGAGATGCATATCTGTTTTGTGCTATCTTCCCACTTATTTCCTATCTTTATTTCGAATTCCAATAGCGGTGTTGCAAAAATTAAACTCTATAATGGCAGCATTTTTATGGGGGGGGTCGAATGATAAAAGAAACATACATTGGGTGAATTGGGGTTTGGTCAGTAAGCCGAGAAGATTGGGGGGTCTAGGGATCCCGAACTTAGCTATTCTGAATAGAGCATTGTTGGGAAAATGGGTTTGGAAGTTTGCCTCTGAAAAGGATTCTTGGTGGAAGAGAGTAGTCTGTTGTGTTAATAATTTGGACCCGAACTCCAAAAAGGTTGAGAGTTCTTTGACTGCTCGTGCCTCTTGGATATGGAGAGGAGTGATAAATAACTTCTTTTCTATTGATGGATTTGGTGTCTGTATTAGGAGTAATTTGAGGTGGAAAACTGGAAATGGCCATTCTGTGGCTTTTTGGAATGATGCTTGGTTGGGTGAAGTCCCCCTCAAAGATTTGTTCCCCAGATTGTACACTCTTTCGATGAATAAAGAGGGGAAAGTAGTGGAATTTAGGGAGAGTAATGCTGCAGGATGGGTGTGGGATATTCAATTCAGGAGGAATCTGGTGGATTGGGAGGTCGACCAATGGTTGCATCTGATTTCTTTGTTGAACAACTCCTATTTGTCGCATGATGAGGAAGACTGTTGGATTTGGTTAGGGAATGGAGAGGGCTGTTTCTCTACTAATTCATGTATCAAGAGTTTCTTTGACTCGGATGGTATTGAGGGGAATCAGGATTTTTGGGACAGAAATGTTTGGGTAGGGATAGCACCTCCCCGTGTTGAAACCTTTTTATGGCAAGTAGTTCATCTGAGAGTGGCGGTTAAGGAGGAATTGTTAAAGCGTGGAGTGGCTGGAATTGAAGATCCCTTATGTCCGTTGTGTGGCAGATTTGGTGAATCGGTTCCCCATCTCTTTCTGCATTGTGAGGTTGCTTGGGGACTGTGGGTCAGATTTTTGAATTTGTGGGATGTTGATTGGGTGATTCCTAGTAAACCTTTAGAGTGCATCACTCAGTGGGACGAGCTTCTTCCGAATTCTATTATTTGGAAATTCATTCCAAGGGCAGTCTTGTGGACGGTTTGGAAATTAGGAATGAAGTTATTTTTAAGAAAGGGAAGTTGGATGTGGTGTTGTTGTTCTTTATTGTTCGGTTTAGAATAGTTTCTTGGTTTGCTGCTAGTTTTGATTCGCAGATTCCTTTTGATTCTCTGGTGGGTGATTTAACACTTGCTGATTCAATGGTCAGCCACAAAGTAAGATCCAAACCTTCGTGCTGGGTTCCTCCTCCAGTTGGGTTCATAAAGATTAATGTTGATGGAGCAATGGTGAAGGGGTGGAGCAAAGGAGGTATAGGAGGCCTGATTAGGGACAGCAGTGGTAAGTTGAGTCATTGGTTCGCTGAAAATGTTGGGGGAGGTCCCCCGATTATGGCAGAACTTCTGGCGATTAAGAGGGGGTTGAGCTTGCTTATTGATTCTGGTGGGGTTTGTAACCAGAGGATTATTTTAGAATCTGATTCATCCAACGCGCTGAAGTGGATCAAAAATCCGGAACTAAGCACCCCTTTATTCCAACCAT